AACTTCTCGGTGGAGCCTATCAGGCTAGGAACTTCCAATGTTCTCTGCACCTGGTTTGGGCATCACACTACAACCTACCACTACCTTCACAGATTTTAGATCTTCACACAAATTAGTATTTACTGAGTGACTGCCGTGGCCCAGATATTTTTTAGACAAATTCATGTGTATACTCCCAGGCAAACTGGTGAGATTTGAGTAGAAAGCATGATTAATATTTATTTTACAAACAAGTAAACTGATGCAGAGAGGTTAAGTGACCAGGCCCACTGAAGTTTACTCATTCCAAACTCTGTACTCATTCTTTCATGCCATAGCTGGTTCCTAAACCAGCCAACATAAGCATTACAGCAACTTCCAAACATTGTGGGTATTTTTTGGCAAACTTATTAAGAAAGATAAAAATATTAATGATTCCATTATGAAAAAGAGCATTTCATATGCTAGCTTGAGTCTTGATGGACTACTGTAAAGATAATTTGAGTTATCCCCTTTGTATAATTAAAATGCAGCCCAGCATTGGTATTATATCTTGAGAAAATCCAGTAACAGTACTTATACTACCATATACTGAGCTTATCAGGCTAACAAAAGTCCGAGAGAATTTTAATTTCATTGTGGGTTTAGCTAGCATTTATTTTCTCTGATTTCTCTGATTTTTATTTTCTACTTTCTCATTTTTAATTTTCTTTCTTAGTGAAATGCCCGTTATCTTTTGCCTATTTTTTCACTAGTTTATTGTTTTCATACTAATTTGAAGGTGTTCTTTTTGAATTATGTATCCTAATCCTTTATAGTTTGTGTACGTTATAGGTAACTTTTGGGCTTTTACTTTTCTTCATTCATAATAGTCATATTCATAATCCATTTTTAGGGCTGAGGAGATGGCTCAGTGGAATAAGTGCTTCCCTGGAAAGCACAAGGGCCTGATTTCAATCTGTAGTTCCACCAAAAAAATGCATTTTTATTTCTTCTTTTGAGTTCTTAGACTAGGGATATCCTAGTTCTTAGATATTTGAGTTCTTAGATATTTCTTCTTTTGAGTTCTTAGACTTTTGAGTTCTTAGACTTGAGATATACTAGTTCTTAGATATTTGAGTTCTTAGACTAGGGAATATCCTAGTTCTTAGACTATTAGATATTTACACATGTGGTTCTGATTTATTTCATCTATGAGTGTATCTTCAAGTGGCATCCACTTATACATGAAGGCTTTGAGTTTATCATTCTTTATAGCTGAGTAATACTCCATTGTATAAAAATATCACATTTTTTTCATCCATTCCTCAGGTGAAGGGCATCTTGGTTGCTTCCAAGATTTGGCTATCGTAAATTGTGCTGCTATAAACATAGGTGCACATATATCACTGTGATATGATGTTTTCAGTTCTTTTGGGAAAATTCCCAGTAGGGGGATAGCTGGATTGAATGAGATTTCCAGTCCTAGTTTTTTAAGGAGACTCCATACTGATTTCCATAATGGTTGCACCAGTCTGCATTCCCATCAGCAGTGGAGAAGGGTTCCCTTTTCCCCACAGTCTCCCCAACGTTTGTTGCTGGTTGGTTTCTTTATGCTAGCCATTCTTTCTGGGGTGAGATGATATCTCAGTGTTGTTTTAATTTGCATTTCACAGATGGCTAGTGATGTGGAGCATTTTTTCATATATTTATTTGCTTCTATAATTTTGACCTATGAGACGTGCATGTTCATCTCAGATGCCCATTTCTGGATTGAGTCTTTAAATTTTGGGACCCTAATACAGTCTTTCAATATTTTATTTATTTATTTGGTACAAGATCTCGCTACACAGCTCAGATTCATAGTGATCCTCCTATCTCAGCCTCCTCAGAGCTGGGATTATAGATGTGCTTCTACCACGCTCAGTTTTACTGACCAGCAGGCACAGGGCCAGCACAGCATGTGGTACCAGGGATCGAACCTGGGTCTTTGCTCTTGCCAAGCAGGCACATAGACTGCTGAGCTATCTCCCCAGCCCAGTCTTTCAATATACAATATAAAACTTTTTATATCTAACATATACCCATATTTGTCAGGTCTTTTTCCTTTTTTGATTGCTCAGTTTGGTTTAAACAGTCTGTCAAATCTAAAAGTTGTAACATTTACTTTTACATTTTTCACTTAAACTACCTAGAATTTGTTTTTGTGTTTAGTATGAGCAAGGGGTACCAGTACTATGTTTTATGTGGCTAGCAGTCTCAGCACCATTCATTTAGGCTGTTCATTCCAATGGAACATGCTTCAGCTTACATACCAAGACCATGCTCACTCCTGATCACTTTGGTTGTAGAATGGGTTTGATGTGTGCTCTGGCCAGTGCTTTGCTTTTCTCTTGTTGAAAATTAATTATTCTTGGGTATTAGATTTTTATCTAGAAAGTTTGGACTTGGTCTATAAAATTTCATCAAAAATCCTATGAGGATGTTGATTTAGAATTATAGTAAGAGAAAGAAGACTTAGCATCTTAGCTAGAATGTAGCTTTCTATGCAAGAATGTGATATAGCTTTGATAAATGTGAGCTTTTAATTACTTCTGGTATTTTAAAAATGCAGTTGGCTTCTGTATATTTTAAATTTAAACTTTTACGAACTCCTATGTACTCTAATAACTTGTTGATTTTCTAAATATTTGGCCAGATTATCTGCAAAACAGTACTTATTTGTTCTTTATGTTTTTATTTCTTTTTCTAAGTGTACTGGCTAGGACTACCACAATAAGTTCAAATATAAGCAATGATATGAGCATCATTACACCATTTCTATATAAAGCTACTCAACGTTTCAGCTGTATGAATAATGCTCACTGCAGTCTTTGAAGCTTCCTTTGCTAAGTACCTATTGTGAGATTAGGGAAGTTTTCTCCTAAACTTGATAAAAGATATATAGCAAATGTGTGTTGACTTGAAAGCTGTTTCTGTATCTTAGTCCTGATTTTTTCCCTATAACTCTTTGATCTGGTAAATTACATTTGTTGGTGTTTTAATCTTGTATTCATTTGACAAACTCAACCTTTAATTTTACTTCAGATTTTACAATGACATTTATAACTGCAGTCAGCATATAACTTTTCTTGTTCACACTCTTCTTGCCTGCTTTTTAAAATCAGAATAATAATCATGTAAAATAGTGTTCTCTAAAATTTAGTATTAGCCAGATGAGCTCTTCTGGGAGTGTTGGATAGAAATCATCTTAAATGTTTCCTTGGGCCAGGGAGATAGCTCAGTAGAATAAGTGCTTGCCTGGCAAGCACAGGGTCCTAAATTCAATCCCCGTTACAAAAAAAAAAAAAAAAAATCACCTTAAAAGAGTTTAACTTAACCCATTGGGTTTAGTTTTCTATTTGGTACGTGTATAAATACATGTAATTAACTGATTCAGTTTCCTTAAATGATTAAGCAGGAAATCTAAATTTTCTATTTTTCCTGAGTTGAATTTAGTATGTTCTGTTTCTAGAATATTCATTTCTTTGAAGTGTCTAAATGCATTGTCATAAAATTTTCTTATAATTTTATTTGGTCTCTACTGTATTTATAATCATTTCTGTCTTTTCCAAGAATTGCTCAGCTTTTGGCTTTTTTTCCATTGGACAACTTTGAAAGAATTTTTCTGCTTATTAGGATTTTTTTTTTAATTACAAACTAGCCTTTGATTTTGTTGATTTTCTGTATATATTTTTGTTTTCATATTTTATTAATCTTATTTCATTTCATTTATCTGCTTTGAATTTATTCTGTTGTTTTTCCAGCTGTTGAGTTGACCACACATTAATTTTTACTCTTTGTTTTCTAATATAAATATTTAAGTAATAAAAATATAGCATGTTAAAATCATTCTATGAAACTTAGTATGCGACTATTTCATTATGGTACCCTTTGAATATTTTCTAATTTTGTTTTTTTTTAACTTGAACTATTTAGAAGTATATTAAAATTTCCATTTACATAGTTTTTTTTTTTTTTTTAAAGTATCTCCTTGCTACTTATTTTAAATTTAGCTGAATTATGGTCAGGAAGGTGGTTCATTTGAAGGATTTTTTTTTTGGGGGGGGCAGGCTCTGAATGCCTTCAGGGCAGGTTTGGCTGGCTTGAGTGGTGGGGATGGAACCCCAGCAACCTGAGCCTGACTGCTTTGTTGAAGCAGCCCCTTAAGCTGCCCACTGAGCTAAGGGGCAGGCCCCCAGGTGGTTCATTTGAGTTCAGTTTTGCCTGTGCCTGACTGTCTAGGGCTCATGCAGTAGTTTACTATGGGTCTGGGGTACAGGATCTGGTTGTAGAGACAGAACAACCAAAATATGAACAGTTTATGTTCTATACATGTCCTAGGGTCCGTTGTGGTTTCTGAAGCTAATAGTCAATGATTTCTTTTTTAAATAATGGATTATTTATTATCATTACTTTTTCTTTTTTAATTAATTTTATTGAGAAACATCAATGAGACAATTTCAAAACAGGTTAGTAGGACAGTTACAATAATTAATACATTGCGTATTGTTGTCTTTGTAGTAATTATTTATAGTACAAGATGTCGACATGATATCCTGTCCAAACACAATTAGTACAAATCTTTCTTCTCATTGAATGAAGCGAAAGCAGCTGTATGTCTATCCTAACTATTTACAGATACAAAATGGTCCTTCATTTGCATCCCCTTTTTTTGTTTAGTTTTGTCAGAGATGGGTATTCCATTGCCATTTAAATATTGTAGGTGTGTGAATTCAGCAAAATATTCCCACATAGTCTATTAATCCAAGATCCTCCTCGAGCCTGCTTATGTCTGACATCTTATACACACCCCCACCTCTTTGTCCTGTCAGCCTGTGAAGCAGGTTGCTCACCTCAGTTTACAAACACAATTCCTGAGGTGGCAGCCTTCAGGACGCTCAGTAGTGCTCCCTAAGCAGTGACCGGCAGCCCGCCGCGCTTGGGCTGGCTCCTGCTCTCATGGGCCAAGCGACTAAAATATGAACTCGTTGTGTCTTCAGGTCGTCACTGAGTGGTCTTCTCACATCATCCTTTAGGCAACACCAGGAGTCACTGGCCGCAGAGAGAGAGAGGCGGCGACAGGAGAGAGAGGAGAGGCTGCAACGGATAGAACGAGAGGAAAGAAACAAATTCAAGTAAGAAAGATTTTACGTTTCTTTTACTAAGGAGTTAAAATTTAAAGAATATGGCTTTGCGGGTGTATATGTTTAATACTGGTGTCAAAGGATTAGGAAGCAAATTTCCTTCTAATTCTGTCTGTATCTAAGGAAGAACAATATTTATCTGCTATAGAATGGCCCTGGTGCGTTCTGACCTTTCTCTAACCACATGGCAGGAAGAGCAGAGAGCAAAATGCAATTAGGAAGTTGTGTATTTTAGGTCCACCATTAGCTACCAGACCTTCCTCAGGACAGAACGTCCAATTGTCTTAATTTACCATTTCTCACTAAAGACCTTCATGTTTTATTCATACTATAGTGGATGTCAGAAGGAAAATGTTTCCCATTTTCTGGTTTGCTTCTTGCTCCCTGTAGCAATCTTATAGTGTGTATCTGTCTTCGTACATTCATTCCATATCCCGGCCTGTCTCCACCTGCTGAGTCCAGTGTCCCTGCACTGCTCCTTCCAGCTCCAAGGTGAACTCCTTCCACCCTCTCCCAACCACTTTGAAAACACAGATACAAAATGGACATTCATAGTTATACCCCAATTTTTTTAAGTTCCGTTGTTGAATATAATAGGTGTGTAAAACCCTAGTCATTTTGATATTAACTTTTTCCTGTTTTTCTTTCTTTTCTTCCCCATTACATTTCTCCTTTCTGTTTAATCTCTTCAAGGTTTTTGTAAAGTAGTGTTTCCATTGGTTTCTTTCAGCAATCTGTAAAGAATATAGGGGACTGCTAATGAGTTCTTATGCATTCAATAACTTGGTTTCTTCCAGAAAACAAGGAAAATATTTGTAATTCAAAAATGATCAAAATATCAGAAGAGTTGTACAGTTGTTTAACCTTACTTTATTTCTTTATAAAAACAGATATCCCAAGTCCACGGATGCAATGCCAATCCTGGCTTTTGTAACAGTGCATGATGGGGCTGGTGAGATGGCTCAGTGGTCTAAAGCACCTACTTAGAACAAGCTTAGCAAAGCACAGGGACCGCGGTTCAATCCCCCAGCACCACATGCCAGCCAGCCCCGCCCCCTGGTGGGCTGAGCTGGCCACACACACACACACACAAATAAGTAAAAACAAACAAACAAACAAACAGTGCATGAATGGGCTTCATAAGCCAAACCAGCATTGTTTCTCCACTGTGCTTGGCGGGCATCCTCAGAGCTATCAGATTTCTACCAGATGATACCTGGAAACTCCAGCTCTCTATGCACAACTAGTTCACAAAGTTATTTTATTTATTTTTTAAATTTTATGTTGATGTATCTAGTACAGAGTCTACAGGGTCTCACTACACAGATCAGACTCATAGTGATCCTCCTGTGTTCAGCCTCCCAAGCACTGGGATTACAGGTACGCACTACCACACCCAGTCTCAGTCGCCATCTCAGAGCAACGGGGATCAAACCCAGGTCCCTGTGTCTGCCTAAGCAGGCGCTTTAATCCACTGAGCTGTCTGACTGGCCCTCACAAAGTTATTTTAAAAGACCAATTTTTAAAACCCTGTAGTAGGTTAAAGGCTTTCTGATTTATGGCATTTTGAGAGATCAAGATATTTTACCACTAAATAGCACCAAGGAATTTGAAATATGTGGAAAATTCAGAGATTGGCTTATATATCCAGAATTATTGATTGGAAACCTCTTATAATCAGGTGCCAGTTTTGAAGAAAATGGGATCTGCACATTCCGTCTTGCCTCTCCATTGCATCACTGAATGCATCCATAAATCGTAGACAGAATATGCAGTTCTGGAAACTTTGAGATATGATAGGGAGCAGGTGAGTGACAGAGGAGACTCACATCCAAAACTCTACCAGTGAGCGTTTACTATTTTTTACCTCCAGTATCACATGGCATGGACTCAGAGGCGCTCCTAAACCACATGGACCCAAAAAATACACTTAAAAAGCCCTCTTTTGTAGACCAAGGCACAGCCCAAGAAATTCCTAATGATCAGAGACTGTAAAAATATTCTCTTTTCCCCTTTTTTCTATCTCCATTATCTCAGCTTCTAAGAAATATTGCTACGAAAACATGGTGATGGCAGCACTACTCAGACAGGTGCCTAGAACTCTGGATGAGGAAAACCCATCCTCTGACCAGAAGAGCAATGATCCATGAGCCGTGGGGAAGTGTGTGTGTGTGTGTGTGTGTGTGTGTGTCCTGCTGTGTGTCCTGCTGTGTTGCCCTAGTTCTGGAGGCAGTTATCAGAAGCAAACAGTAGATCAGGGAAAGGAAGCCAAGGTTTTCTGACCGAAAGACTAGGAAGGAAGCCAGAAAATAACTCAGAGCCAGAAGATCAAGAGGGCTCAGGCTTGGAGAAGTAGAGAGCGGATCGCCAGCCAAGCCCCAGAGCAGCCACTGGAAGGGACCCCGAGCCCTGGGCTGAGTGGGATGGTGACAGCTGGAAGGTGAGCTAACATTAAGCTGATCCCAGAGGGCAGGTCAGAACCCACAGGCTGAACCTAACCTGGTTGACTGCCTGCTAAAACAAAACAAAATTCGAGATTCCTCATAGAATATACCCAGAATCTTTTTTTTTTTTTTTTTAAATTTTTTTTTTATTTTTATTTTTGAGAGAGAGAGAGAGAGAGAGAGAGAGAGAGAGAGGTGTGTGTGTGTGTGTGTGTGGCCAGCTCAGCCCACCAGGGGGCGGGGCTGGCTGGCATGTGGTGCTGGGGGATTGAACCGCGGTCCCTGATGCCTTGCCAAGCTTGTTCTAAGTAGGTGCTTTAGACCACTGAGCCATCTCTCCAGCCCTATACCCAGAATCTTAATACAGAATATTTAATATTTATAGAAAACAATCTAAAATAACTTGTCATGCAGAGACTCAGGAAAATGTTAACTCCCAGGGAAAAGGTAATGAAAAGGAGCTCACCACAGAAGGACAGAGATGTTGTAATGATCAGATGACTTTAAAATATCTGTTATGAACATGCTTCAAGAGGTAAAGGTACGCAGGGTCCAGGAGTTCGGTCCCCAGGGCTGCTGTGCTGGCCCCGCCCCTGGGGCACGCTGAGACAGTGACTGAGACTAGGTGTGGTGGCACATGCCTATAATCCCAGGCTATAAACAGGAGGATCACTACAAGTCCAATCTACATAGTGAGACCCTGTAAAACCTATGCATATATATATATATATATATATATTTCAAGAAGTAAAGGCAAATATTCTTGAAATAAATGAAAAGGCAATTCTCTACAACAGAAGAAGTGTAAAGAACCAAAGAGAAATATGCACAAAACAGAAAAGTTTAAAAAACAAGATAAAAAATTCATCAGATGAACAGAATAATAAAGAGAACCTCAAGTTCAGTTGTATCAATTCACTTCAAGATAGAACAATAGAAATTATTGTTCTGAAAGTAAAAAATTAAAAATACAAACAGGCATCATAGAAACTACAGAAAAACACCAAAATATCCAACACTCATGCCATTGAAATCTGGGAGATATAACAAAATAGATTAGAATATATAGTAATGTATACTCCGTCGTTATGTCGCATGCAGGGAGGGTTGTACTCAGGCCCTCTGTTGTCAGTCTCTATTCTTCTCTATTCTGTTTGTCACTTGCTCTTGGTTTCAAGTTATTCTCATTTGTCAGATAAGAACACATAAAGAAATCTAGGCAAAACCATTTGTATTTGATAAAGATGCTAATCATCAGGATAGGCCAAGGCCATGGGCACTGTTAATTGTAGTGACTGTAACTCCATTCTTCTGACATTATGACAGGAAAGAGATATATTATATTATATTATATTATATTATATTATATTATATTATATTTATTTGATTGTCATAGTGTCTAACTCTGCAGCTCGGACTCATAGTGATCCTCCCTCTTTCAGCCTCCCCAGTGCTGGGATTACAGGTGTGCACCACCATGCCCAGTCTCTGTAGCTGGCTCAGCCAGCTGGGGACAGGACTGGTGTGGCATGTGGTGCCAGGCATTGAACCATGGTCCCTGCACTTGCCTAAGCTTGCCTAAGTAGTCACTTTAGCCCACTGAGCTATCTCTCTGGCCCCAGGAAAGAGATTTTTTAAAGGACATGGGAAATGTTTTCCCTAGCATGCTCTCATACTATTTGAATTGCTAAGCTTTCGTCAGTTCCATTGATTTAAATTGTACATGCTCCTTATACTTTATACAAAGCATCTAAGAGTTATTCCTTATCTTGTGTTGGTTTCATTGAGTATGGTGCTAAGCTTCTTGGGTTATAAGTTTTATTACAAAGGTGGAAGGCGATGGATGGGGATGGCTATTTATAAATGATGACAAATCTGAATCCTGGGTGCATTTTTCTCCTTACTCCTAACCTGCTTTTTTGATGCACTGTTCCTTCCTAGCTGGTTACCAGCGTGCTGAGCTATAGAATTCTAAGCTACATTACAAGGTCTAGTATAGAAAAACATGGATGTCAGGTTTCTGTAGGTAAAATGAATGGTCCCCTGAGGGGTGACTGAACACATTGTCTCAAACTTAGATTCAAGTTGGAACCTCACCAGCAGGAACAGAAAAGCAAAACATTATAACTGGACAAAGTAGGGAGTCTTGTGGGTGCATCCCAAAGAGAGTGCACAAGGTATGGCTGCCAGTGGTCCTGGAACAGAAGCCAACAGGTAACGGATGTGAAAAACACCCTCAGGAGGAATGTTGTGGAGGATAACACAGCGTGGCTGTGGCACTGGGGCTTGCTTAGGTGTGATTCTTCAGAGAGATGTTATGGAACTAGTAGAGCTTGATCGACTATTAATCATCTTTACTACTGCCAGCTTCTAATTTTCATGTTTGATTTATGTGTTTTTTTTTAAAAAAAATTCTTCTTTCTTTTTCCCTCAGATACTTCCAATCTTTACACAGAATAATGTAGTGTTACTGAGTGACTCCAACATTGTCTTCAGCATCCTTGTGATTTTATTAAAAATCCATTATACCTAGTACTTAAAAGAACAGTCTTTAAATTAAAAAAGTCAGCTACATTTTTTCATTGCTGAGGTAGTAGTAGGCTTTTGTGATATTCTCTTAATAAGTTCTTGGTAGTTTTATGAGCTTCTAACTCTATTTTTTGCATGTTTCCATTAGCCGAGAATATTTAGACAAAAGAGAAGAACAAAGACAAGCCAGAGAAGAAAGGTTTGTACATCCCTTCTTTTCCCTGTGACCTAATGGCATGTGACTTTGAGCTGTTAACCAAGCATGCGGAGGAGACAACTTCTTAAAATAACTTGACCTAAGGCACCTTAGACATTGCATAACTGGCATTTGGAAAAGCATTCTCATGACCTAAGTTTTTGAGGAAAGTTTTGAACTTATCATTTAATGTCGTCATGATAAAATGTATATCTGTGGCTACAAAATCCCTCTCCAAATAAGCACATTAATGCTAACACGTTGACAAATGGTATAGGAAGTCATGTGCCACTTGACAACAGATGTGTGTTCTGAGATATATGTTCTGTATGTTGCAGTGGCAGGTGGTGGTGTTATTGTTTAAGCATTATAAAGGACATTTAGATGGACAAAAGAGCCGCTAGACTCCTACAGGACTGAGTGTGTGATCCACTAGTGACTAAAGTATCGTTGTGCAGCGCATGGCTGTATCTGAAATTCCTTGTGCTATCACTGCAGAGCCTGACTTAGGAGTCCTTGCTATGTGCTTCCATGCTGTGCTTGGTCAGCATTTCCCCAGCAAATATTTTAGCACATGCTTGAGGCATTGTAGGTACTTAGGAATAATGTGCAGAATACATAAATAAGCAAAAGAACGCACCACCTTATTTATGCTATCCACGCTACAAACAGCTCTCTAACTTCAACAGCAACATGATTTTGACAGCAGTAAAAAGTTAATATATTCACTGTCTGCTGAATGTAGGTAAACAGATGAAACTGGTTTTGGAAATAAAGCAGGAAAAGACAAGTTTCAATGCCCTGCACGATGAAGCCTGCAGTTGTGCACTCTACCACCAGGTGGCGTTACAGCATGGCACTATGGAAACGTTTATTTTATACCTTTGTGTACTGGAGCCAGCTGCGAACCTGACAAATTTCTGGGCAGTGCCAATAAGACGTGGAATTGTGCTAATTTTTTTAGGCACCTTCGGCTAAGTAGATCAAGAAGGTCTGAGACAGGGAAGAGTGGAGACTGTCTGTGCTCAATTAAAAAATTAGATGCTTTAGTCAGCCTCATAAATAAGACTAAAGCATTGTTTTATTTCCAACATTCTATTTGATTATTGTCATCCTAATGGCCAGTTGTGGCCAGAAATTCAGAGTGAAAGATGCTGGTAAAGAAACAAGAAACTTCTGTTTTTTTGTGACTAGTGCCTGTCTTGACATTGGGGGCATAACATAATTCTCTTACTCAAAATACTGTTGACTTTCTGCCCAGGTTTAAGGAATTTAATTTTTTTTTTTTTTTTTTTTAGTTCTTCCTCCTGATTCTGTACTTTTTGAGCTCTGACAGCTTGACCGCCAGGTTATGTCCACATAGGTAAAGCTTGGCAGCTCCTGGGGAGATGTCAAGGTGCTTTGTCAAGGTCTAGACTGGCTCAGGCCAACTGCAAAATTTTCCCAAATCGCTAAAGGCTCGCCTTTTCTATTATTTACTGCTGTTTTCCTCCAGACAGGCCTTCGCTGTGCCTGCAGATGTGTATAATGAGCTCTCCTCCCCTTTTCATTCTGCTTTCTGTCCTCGGCCCTTGGCTGCCCATCAACCTGGGCCTTGGCAGGTGTGGGATCCACTACCCAACTCATCTCAAGAGGGTGGGAGGGAGAGACTGGGGCCTGAACCAAAAGCCAGTGCACTGAGCTGCTTCCCTAGTCATTTTCTTTTCTTTTCTGTTCTTGCTTTCTTTCTTTCCTTTTTTTTTTTTTTTTAATATATTTAGAACAGGGTCTACAGTGTCTCACTATGTAGACTGGAATCGTAGTGATTCTCCTGTTTTCAGCCTCCCAAGCCACCACGTCTAGTCTCAACTGTCCTCTCAGCGTGTCCCAGGGGTGAGGTCAGGGATTGAACCCCAGCCACTGTGCTCTACCTAAGTAGGCACTTTAGTCCACTGAGCTATCTGGCTGGCCCTCCCAGCCTTTTTCTTTTTTAAGACAGGGTCTTGCAGTATCATTAAGTGGCCTAAGTTGGGCTCAACCTTGTAATCCTCTTGCCTCAGCCTCCCAGAGTTCTGGGACTGTAGATGTGTGTCATCACACCTGGCTAGCTTACCTTTCTGTTGACATGGAGGCTTGGCACAATTCAGTTAAGCGTTTTCCTTTGGTTTTAAACCAGCTACCTTCTCTGAGAGGGGTTAGTTTATTTCTTGAATTACTTGGCAAAGATAGGAGTGAGAAAGATATATTTTCATTCCTGTTTGGGAAACTAGGGGCTGGTAAGCCAGGAAATGATCAGATTTTCAAGTATAATAGAATCTGGAAAGAGGTGGGCCAGCTAGTAGAGATTAGAGGAGAGAGACGTACAGAGACAGAAGGCAAGGACTCCATCTGTAACTTTTCAAGGTGGAGCCAGGCATGTTCTCTGAGCTTTGTGTCTCTTATTCTTAATGAAAATATTCAGAAGAGGTGTCCTGGGTCAGTGAAGATGGTTTCTGAGGTTTGTGTTATATCAGTATAAGAAGAAGAATGTCACTTTGCTGTGATGAGACACTGCGGTTATCCAGTTATATTTTATTTCATGTGATCTCATTTTGTAATTTCAAGAAAACTCTTATTGACAGTGACGCAAACTAGGAATCAATTTCTGCTGAGATACTACTTTTAATTTTAAGTATTAGAAGATAGTCTTTAAATAATAATGATCAATTTAAGGGACATTGATGAAATATATATATATATATATATATATATATATATTCCCCACCCTCCCCCTTGCACTTACCAGGCAAGTGCTTATTCTACTGAGCTATCTCCCTGGCCCCCATGAATAATATTTTTAAGCATAAGAAGGACTAAATCTATGCTTAGGTTGGGGTGGGGTCATTGGTGAATTGTTTCAGTTTGGACTTGTCAGTCTGAGGAGTGTGAGCAACAGGATAGAGAAGAAATTCTTGCCTTAGGAAGCTAGGTCCCAGGTGTAAGGGAGGATCTGGGATTGGGCCAGGATGCTGGGAGTCAGGCCAGACTTGCTCCCCAGCGTAGTGAGAAAGGATTCTCCTCATTGCATGGAAGGACCGAGAACAGGAGGTAGAGGGACCCAGCTTAGGTTTTATGTAAGGGAGACTCTTGGAGGGGAGGTAGCGTTGGCAAGCATGTTTTGGGTAGTCTCAAATCAAATAGGCTTTCTAGAAGGCTCTGTGAAGACATCCTGCGTGCAGTTACAGGCTTCGCAGGAGCTGGGGTTCATTCCCAGAGGAGTGGTTTACTTACCTCTTTGCCACTGAATTGTGCTCCTCAGGAGGGTGGCATTTTTTTTCTTCTTTATTATTAAATCTGTAGTGCTCATTACAGTTCTTACCAGATGGCAGGCACTGTACAAATGTTCAGTAAAAAAATGAAAAAGATGAATGAATAAAGGATAAAGCAGGGGTGGTAGAAATGAGACTTTTGATGTAGACAGAAAAGGTAAAAGGTCTGTGCTTGGGGGTGAGCCTCTGAATTGAAAGCCTTATCCTTTGCTCTGGGGCCCCAGCGTGGGCTCTTCATTGGTTTGGCTTTGCAAGACATCAGGAACACCTACCTGCCAGGCACTGCGTGGACGGGTCAGCTTTCCAGGTCAGGTACAATTGAGTCCCTAAATGTTGTGGCTCTTAGAGTCACTGTCTAAGGAATGGTTGCGATACGGGTCCAGCTTGCTTCCAGAGGACTCCCAGAGGATCAGCTAGCCAGGAGGGCTGCCACCCTGTAACTTTCTCACTGCCAGGTTCTGGGGCTATGTCCATGGGTACCAGCCCCCTACCCTCACCTTTGGGCCATTATAGATAAATGCTGCTGCTGCTCCTCCATAAAATTTAATGGCCTTAACCTCCATCCCTATCTACTTCTGCCATTTAAAAACTTAAAAATTGTGATGATATAGCTAGTAGTATGATGTACGCTCACATGTTTGTACAACTAGTCTTCAGAGTTCTTATCTTATAAAAGTACTCTACACTAATCGTAGCCCTTGTGATTTTTATCTACCATATAAACATTTTCAACCCTTAGAATAATTGTAGTTATACCTTTCTTTGGCTCTTGCCTAGTGTCACAGATACTTGGCAATGACATCTGTGAGTGGGAGGGGTGCATAGGAATATTCTTTTGTTGGATCTACACAGGCTCTGAATGAGCAACCTCTGGAGTCCCTGAGAAAGTGGGGTGAGCCCTTTGACTGTCAACCCCTGTCTGCCAGTCTGGCTACTCGCAGAGAGGGGTGCAGAAAGCCAGGACCAGAGCTGGCACAGCTAAAATGAAGATCAAAGGGGTTGTCTTCTTGACTGTTGTGTATGGACTCATTACCATCCTTCCTGGATTCTTGTTTCCTGCTTTGGGATTCTGCTGTTCTGGACCTGTCTAGATGCCCTTTCCATATTTTATTCCCTGTCTGCTTTTACCTCCTGTTGTGGGTGTGGACTCGGTGTGCTCACAAGGGCTGCTGGGCTAGCAGCATTCCTGGGGCACTGCCTCTTGCCTTACACATCCTTTTCTCCCTCAATTCCTACTATTTCCCTAGCCGGGAGCTTTTCCTTGCTGGTCTGTCCTGAGCTCAGAAACCCATTCCTTTCCTTTTATTACCTCTTCCTTTTGGAGAGATGATGTAACAATGTGAGTCTTTCTTGCTGTAGCTTCCTCCTGTAGCTGGGAGGCAGCTGCCCCAAGGCACCCTGGGCCTTAGTATGTATAACCCATCCCAAGACTTTTACCTGAGATTCACCAGGGACACGGACTCACTGCCCACAACTGGGAAGGAGGATGCCTTTGCAAGCAGCTTCCTGGGCTGCAGGTGGCTTCATTTTGAGGACTTCCTTGCAGGTGTCTTCCCGCATGCTTTGCCTGCTTCCCAGGAGCTCATGAATGCGAGGCACCGAGGGAAAGAACAAAGATGGCAGACTTCCTCGTCTCAAACATTGTATTATCTACTTGTTGAAAACAGACAAAAACATATGAAGCGATGACTGGATATGCCAGGCAGTAAATGTTAGAATGCCAGCTGAGTCGAATGGGCTACATATCCGACATGAATTCAGAGGCAGCGCCCAGATCGCTTGCAGCTGTGGCGGTCAAGGCTTCCCAGAAGGAGCAGCACACATAAGCATGGCCCGAAAGGCAGTCTGCCTGTGCGCTGGCCGTGAGACCAGTGACAAGGGCAGCTGGAGGGAGCCACACGTCCTTAAAATGGGATGAACCACATGCATTGTTTACAGCATTTTAAATCTATTGCATGCCTTCCTCATCCTCAATGAGAGCATCACATCCAGTGACAGAAGGGTCCCTAGTGGCTGGGGGTTGCTGGTCACGAGGGATGAAAGCCGTGAAGCTGGATGGGTCTTGGATAAGCTATGTGGAAGTTTTGTGGTGGGTAGGATAGTCAGTGGCCTGCTTCAGCTGAATTTTTACATTCATTTCTGCGCCAATAATGGTGGGTAAAATTAGCAGACATCTGGAAGGGGCGCATATTTCAAAGTTATTTTGGTCTGATCTGTAAAGCGCACTATGAGGAATATGATTGGTAGCTGGTCTTAATAAACAGTTAGTGGGTTCTGCCTGCCTGAAATGCAAAACAGATGTATCTTTGTTCTTTTAAACTGACTTTGATGAATAAACTATACGTGACGTCAGGTCCAAGCTATTGGATGTCTGAGTCCTGCTCAGAAATATTTTAGAATATAAAAAAGTTTCCATGGTCCATGCTGACAGAACAAAGTGAATTCCAGTTGTGTTGCTGTTAGCATTGAAGCAGGTTCAGAAATTCCAAGCAGCCTTCCCCGAGCAGACCCTTCTGGTATTTGGGGGGCCATTGTTTATCTCTGTCACACAGAGGTATCCTCTCATTTTGCAGCTGTGAGCTCTGAGAGGGTTTGGTTCTCAGCTGTCTCCCTGATGACTTTTTGATGGTCATTATTGCTGTTCTGCTTATTTGTACAAATGTATTGTAAAAGAGCAAAGTCAAATTCTGCAGCGGCCATCCAGGATCTGGGACTGTGTGACGTTGCCATATCTCCCAATTTGTTGGGCTGTGAATGATGCAGAATTTTTAATCATTAGCATCTTGGCTTCGCTGGGTGTTTTTGGCAGACTGACCCTCCCGTCAGCCCTGCACTGTGCTCTGTGCTTCAGGAAATCAGCTCACTCTGCAGGTGTTTCATCCATAAACAAGCATCAGCCACAGGCTCCTCTTTCTTTTTACGGAAACCCTTTGGAATTTAACTTTCAGATACAAATACTTGGAGCAGTTGGCAGCTGAGGCACACGGGAAGGAGCTGAGAAGCCAGAGTGCGAGCCAGGGCAGAGCTGACCTCTGCTTGGACTTGACCTCGCCAGCAGCCCCTGCCTCGCCTGTCCCTGGGAGCCAGAGCCCTCCATCTGCAGACGCACAGATCACTTTCGCAGTGTCCTCCTCCGGAACACCTCAGCATTCCCAAGGTGAGTGCAGGGGAAGGCAAGGGAAGGCTGATGCGTTAATGTCCAACAGGCTTCTGGGCAGTGGTAATGAACCCAACAGCAGATTAACACAGAGACAGCCAGGAGAGGTAAGTGTCTAGGATGGCTGCAACCTGTACTGTTTTTTAACTAATGTAGATATCTTCAGGGCAAAACAAAATGATTTATAAAAGTTGTCAGTGTATGACCACTAAAAAGGAAGAACATGAAAAGTAAGACTGACTTTGAAATTTGATTCTAAATACTGGGGTATTAACTGATTTCTTTATGATTTGGATATGTAGCTCTGCCAAAAAGTGATCCCTTCTGAATTTCTAACCCTAGGATCTGTTAGTCTGGTTTACATTAAAGTGATAGACAATAAAATTAAAGTAAGCAAAGGCAAACATGGACCTAGTGAAAAATAAAAGTTAAATGCTGAAGAGGAAAATAATAGTAAAAAGTTCTGGCACGTGGTGCATGTGTACACATGCACACGCTTCTATGCAGACAGGCAGACTTTCCCCGGAGAAAGTCTTGTGGACTTAGCTTTATTTGGAAAAAAGCAGTGATACCATTCACGTCGCCTTGGGCATCAGCCGTAGCTCCCTGATTGCTCTGTGCGCTGTGGGTTCATTTGCTTTCACATTAGCACAGAACTTGGCCTTGGGCATAGATGCACACAAAACGCATGTTGACTAACACTGCTGCTAGCACTGTTTGGTTTCAAGTGTTAAGGGCTTACAGCCTGACGAGACTTAGCTGAGTAGAGACAGGAGAGATGCTAAACTTTTAACTCTAGGGAGATTGACTAAATATGGCATAAAGTTTAACTTAAGACAGGACTCCATGACCTCAGCAGAACTGGATGTAATGGAATGACATTGTCTGTCCAATTTTTGCTGGCTCTCGGAGCCCCGGGGCTCATTCTGCAGAAGCAGGCTGGCTCCAATGTAGCCTTCCATCATGTCTAGTTACCGCTGGTCCCTGAGCCATGGCAGACTGTCCCAGGCAGATGGCTCAGTCCTACATGAGTAATGTCAGTCTGAAAATATTGAGACTCAGACAAACTGTTTTGTGACAGCCTGGTGATTTTCAGACCCTGCCTTACATCATTGCTGTATCTATGTGGTGGTATTTCCAGGGGGCAATAAGAAAAATTGCATCCTGCAAAGTTGTGGTTCGGAAATTAATCTTGGGATGTTTAACTTTAGGAGTTGTACCTCCAGCCATTTATTAAATAAGCGTCTGAACTGTGAAATTCTTATTGGCTCAAACTAAGAGGGAGCTGTCAGGATCTGTAAATATTGTTTGTGCTCAAGCTTTTAAAGTGCTCAGTCTTTGTGGCAAAAGGCAGTTCCTCAAGTATTTTGTCCAATCAAAGTTGAGCCAGAGGCCATGCTGTCTAACAAAAAAGAGTATTTTAAACTTTAAGAACATATATCTGATGTATTCATTTGGGGAAATACATATTTTAGTATGCTTTCAGAAATGTGTACAGGACTTGACTTACTACATAATTATAAATTAATAAAATACCATCATGTAATGGTGCTTTTCACGATGGGGCAGGGCTAGACAGTGGCTCTGCAGGCCCTAGAGAGCTGTCCATCATGTGTCAAGTAATTCTGACCCAGATCAGTGGGGACTGAGGGCATAGTTCAACTTCCTTGTCCTAATAGCTAGCTCATTATAAAATTAGAAATAACAAGTTTATAAAAGAAATTATACAGAGAATGGTCCCAACTGACAAGGCTTCCTTCCAACTGTAGACTTTTGTTCTTATGTCTGAAATACAAAGTTGGGGTGATAGAAACTTTTCCTCAGCCTATTTTGTTATTTTTCTTTGCATATCCTGCTCTCATCCCATTAATAGTTAACTCTTTTTATCAGGTCCAAATTTCAAGTGTTCAAAGTAACTTTTTTCTGATCCCTAACATTTGTAATATTTCAAAATCTGGAGGAAGAATAAAAAGCATAATCACAAATCCAGATGTGTGTCTTGCACCAAACACCTGGCACTATGTAGAGCAAGTGTGCCAGGCTTGACTGGTCTTTTAACTCCTGATGCTTGTGGGATCATTGGAACAGATCACGCACATTTGTATGGTCCTCTGTCCCAGCCGCTTATATGCTACCATCTATTTGCCACCGTGTGTTTAGGTAAGAAGTGTGAGCCACGTTTCTCTAAAGCCAAAATGAACTGGAAGATTTGTGTGAAATCTCATTAGCACAATGCTGTGCATGGGATGCAGAGTTGGGGCTCATTCCGGCCATCGGTCATGAAGTCATGGTTCCACAGCTTTTGTGGTGGTGGACAAACTTGTGTCATACTATTTGCCTGTCTTTTCCTCAATATCTTCAAAAACTGCTACCTACATTTCAGAATTGTGTTGGTAAGGAAAGGAAAAGGAAAAGGAAAAACTAGTTTTTGTTATTGAATTATATATGCCACAAAACTGTAGATCACTTTATGGGTTCTTTTACCTAGAGAAGATTTAAAAACAGAAGCTATAAAACAGAAATATCCTCTTTTCTCTCATGAAATATATATATATTTTTATTAAGAGAAGGGCTAAGGGTTAAATGCCAATAGCATTTTGTACCAGCCAGTGAGATCTTTCAGCCAAAACCCTTCCCAGTTAAATTCAGTGTGACATTTGTATCAGCGATGCCACTAAGCCCCAGCATCCAGTCAGTGTGTGCTGGAATTATTTTTCCACCTGGCTCTCTTGTGGTTCATAGCAGATGTATGTCCCAGGCTGCCTAGACTTGGTGGTGATGGTCTGAGTATTTTTCCTCTGTGTAAAACTACCAGCCTCAAATGAGGAGAAGACATCTATTGGTCTCACTTGCACTGTGCTGTACTAAGGCAAGCAACCCACCCAAAGAGCAGGTAAATATACAGTGGCATCTCCCTTCACTCATTGCCTTATAATCTTCCCTTACTTTCCCTGAGTATGGGAGGTTTGTGTCAGAATATCTAGCTAATGGATTAATAGCCTAGCTTCGTCATTGTTGTCGTCATCATCATCATCTTAGGAGACTTCCTGGTGACTCTGGAAATAATAAATTGTCCTCCTTAAGCACCTGAAGACCAAGTGTTGATGATAGTGGTGTGTCTTGTTGTTGACTTGCTTTCCCTGGAGAATGAGAACTGCAATCCTACCTTGCACCCTCCCGCATTGGTGCCAGTCCCTTATGGGGGCTGGTGGAGAGAAATGACCTTTCCGAGTGGGAGGAGTATGCTATTAAGGTTCCCTGAGTGGCTTGTCTCACTGCCCACCATGACAGCACATACTGGTGGAGTGACTTATGTTGTTTGCGTGGTCACTCCATGTTGTACCCAGAAATGGTATCTTACAGTTACCCTTAAAATTTTTGCCACACTTTAGTAATTTTTTATGTCAGAAAATTATGCTCAGCAGCAGTTTGTTTTCTACTTGTAACTGGATTCCTAGGTATTTCCAAATGTTCGTTTAGCTCTGAGGATAATAAGATGTGGCTTATCTGGCCATGCATTTACCTGGAAGCATTTACAAAAAATAATTGACAGCAGTATAATAATATTTCCTTCCATGACATTTAATATACTGCCAAATATGATGACTTCTTTAGTTTCCTGACACTCAAACCTGGAAATAAATTGGTAGACATACAGTAATATCAGGAAATGTTCATTCTGTTCACATGAATAATGCCTGTTCTCAGCAGCATCCACTGACCATCGTTGCTGCTGCCATTGTTGGTATCCACCAACTAACTGTGTCGCTTTGTTGTGTGGCATGTTAGAGTCTCCCTCAGGTATAGACACTCTGCAGGTTACGTAATCACATGGCACAAGTCAGAAACATCTGCTATCCTGTTTCCTCCTGGCACAGTGGCAGTGGAATATTATCTGTCATCAGCCTCATGCATGCTGGTTTGCTAGCGTAACGCTTTTGGACACCTCCCCTCCAGCATTGCATGAACTGGCAGGACACTTGATTCCTTGGGGTTCTGTGACTCAGGACTGCCTTGCCTCTTTGTAGCTCAGCCAATTACTGCTACTAGATGTGTCTAGCCAGTTAGACAGTGTCCTTCAGGAGCTGTCTCAACACCAAGGATTTGCCCTCTATACCTGTTGTGGGTCCTTGTTGAGAGCCTTTCCAAGGCCCTGGGATTTGCAGATCACTGGATTCTTTTGCATGTGTGTATACACGTGTGGTGTGTGTGGCTAGGACTGAACCCAGGACCTTCACACCAAGTTACATCCTTGCCCTTGTTTTTTGTTTTTTGTTTTTCTTTTTCCTCTTAATTTTGAGACAGAGTCTCACCTAAATTGCTATGGCTGGGCTTGAACTTGTGATCCTCCTACCTCAGCCTCCCAGAGTGCTGGGTTTACAAGTTGTACCACCCATCATGCCCAGATCACTGAATTTTCAATCTCTCAGTCTCTAAAAATGAAAAAAGCATAAATTTCTTACAACATACAATGCATGTGTTCAATGTATATTTTATATCACATTTTGACATTTTGAACAGTCTTGAGTCCTTTTGAAGAAGGCTGAAGATGAACCCTAACACAAAGCCTTAAGACAAACCTATAAACCTTTAGACAAAACAAAGAACAACATAAATAAGGTTGATAAAGGAGAGCATTCTCAGACCAACATGGGATTTCCTAAATGTCAAGAACTATGAAGCTCTGAAAATTTACTTGTAAACCAAAAATTTCGCCTGTTGCAATTTCTTGGATGCTGGCAGGAGACATGAGACTCCAGGGTCAGAAACGAAGAACTGTATTATTATTATTATTATTATTATTATTATTATTATTAATTTTTTTGGCAGAACTGGAGATTGAACTCAGACCCTTGCGCTTGCCAAGGAAGTGCTTATTTCACTGAACCATCTCCCGGGCCCCAGAACTGTATAATTTTGACAGTAGGACTCGGCAGAGAGTCAGCACAGGTCCCATTTCTTCAACAATTCCCGGTTCCTGTAGCAGTGTGGGTAGGGCC